ATTATTATCATTTGCTTGTTTTAACACTAGGTAAATTTCTTAAACTTCTGCAAACTTCACAAGCAGCGTTCAGGTGACTTCAAATATTTTATGAAGCCAGAGGAAGACATAAAAAATAAGTTGTGGCGGTTTGGATAGAAGAGATTTTACAGCTTTAGCTGCTGTTGTTGTGGGTTGTTTTCCTAATCTCTGGTCCAGGGCAATTCACTACTTTTTATTTTATTTTTACATCTGTAAGTGAGTTTAAAATAATGCCCAAGCAATATGTATTGCAAATATTTTCAGAGGCAGTTTATCATCCAGCAAAATTTGCACTAAGCTAGCGTTTAGAGAATCCTCTTGAGCTAGATACGATGAGAAAAGTATGCCTTTAAGAAATTTTACCTGCTCTTCTGAAAGTTTCAAGGCTCCCCAGAACTTTATTTTCAAGACACATTAAAAAAATATATTTAAAAAATTATTTTCCTACAATCACCTTTCCTGTCCTATCTCTCCTCAAACACAAGCTGATCATGAATCTCAGCCGCGTCTTGTTTGGAAAACAAAAGAAAAACTGTGAGACAAAGACACATACTAATAACTGATGCATCAGCAGTTCATTAATCACTGTCTCGCACACACGAGGTCTGATTTTTTTATTTTATTTTTTTCAACCCCCTCTTTTTCTCAACATGAACAAGCCGCTCTGTTGCAGGGAGACAATYAGTGGTTGTCCCACTTTGTTTTCTCTGTTGGAAGCCATTTAATTAGGTTATGTCTCGGTCATTTTTCTGTGTCAGACTGCCCTGCCTCCCATCAACAAGCTTGTCGCATGAATACTATAAATACACAACAACGTAATGACTTATCAATACTCTGCTGGAAAATATATCATCACTATTAGAAGTGGGCCCCACTTGATCTGAATATTAAATGCTCCTCCAGTGCTGTTTATAGACCCTTTATCTCGGAGTACCTTTGCTTTGTCATTGGATATTAAAATTAGCAGTATTTCACTGTGTATCAAAAGATTAAAGGGGCCAGTGTTGAGGATTATAGAGGGAGGTAAATTATCCTTCACACGCACGGTCTGTTACCGAGATGTCAGACCTTATAATAACTTTTTCATGCTTCAATTACAGTATATCTGCGTTTTTGTGCGAGTGAAATGCAGAATATGTGTGCAGTGTGTGTGTGTGACGAGATAATTTAGGGTTGCAATTCACTCAGTATTTGTCTGCTACATGGGGGAAAACAAATCTGTAAAATCAACTTTGGTGTTCTACTGATCAGATTTCTTTTTTCAAGATTTGTTGGTTTTTCCAGATTTGTGTCTCCTCAAACAGAGACGTCTGGTTTAAGATTAGACACCTTTTCAAATAGCCTTGCTATTGATCTGTGCCACTCACCTCRGATGAGGGCCGATCAAAATCCGATTTAAAATCTGCCTTGGTGAATTAGCTGTCAGATGGTGGGGATGGAGGAAGAGGGAGGCCGTGACAAAGCTGAGGCGAATAAAAAGGAAGAGGAAAGATGGAGAAACAAGATATCATTGGTGCCGAAAACAAATGTTTCTAAAAGAGCATCACATAAAGATTCAAGAGTTTTATTTTCATATGCCCAGCATACAAGCAGTTACACTGTGCTGTAAGAAAAMTTAGTGTTRGTTAACTGAAATCATGACGAAACCACCTGAARGTTGAATAGATTAAAATGTGAAGGGATGGACCATACAACACCAGTTACTGGAGTGAACAGTGGTGTAATGCTCTCTGTGCAGACATGAAACCAATGCTGAATGCAAACCGGAAGTCCCGGTCTATAAATACATGGTTCTTCAGTGCCTGGTGCGCCCACTACAGGCCTACGGCTGAATCGCAGACACTCTMAACAGCAATGCCCTCCTGATGTTTTTATTGACATTTTTTTTTTATGTGTTGTGATGGTGTTTTCAGTCATGTATCTAAACCTATTTTAATCAAGACATAACAATAGTCAAACAATAGATTATAAGAATCYATACTTAAAAAGGAAAACTATGAATATGGTGTGGTGCTTTTAAAATCAGTTTCTAAATGACTAAATAAATTTCTTCAACATCCCCCTGTTCACATGACATTTACTCATGTGAACAGTGCAATGAAATTCTTACTTTGCAGTTCCTCTAGTTACCGACAGTCTGAGAAATTATAAATAAAGTACAATATAATACAAAAGTAGGGTGGTCAGAATTATAGATATTTACAGTTTTTACATTATTTTTGGACAGCTGATTTTTTTAGTGCAAAAAGACACTGTATACAGAATTATAGACCGGTATTTACAGTTTTTGCAGTATTTATGGACAGTAGCAGCAGGATTTGTAGTGCAAAAACAGACACCATATATGGGTAAGCATCAAACGTGATATAGACCAGACAAAATCGACACTAGTGTTGTACAGTTATTGCGTAAGCCAGTGTTATACAAACTTCCATATGAATATCTTCCTTTATTATAATTGCCTGACATCTATTATTAAAATATACTGAATATATGAGACGTGTTTGCAGCTGAGAATGWGGACTTTTCTGAAGGTAGCAACAAAGTCCCACAAACAGTAACCATGCACAGGTGTCAAAGCTATTCTTCAGAATACTCKGAGTCCTTCGCATGCCTCAAAGGATCTCTGCTGAACCGTGTCTCTGCCGTTTATTTCCCTCCCAGGACTGGCTGAGTAAGTTCGGCTACCTCCCACCCCCTGACCCGGTGACCGGCCAGCTGCAGACCAAGGAGGCCCTGACCAAGGCCATCAAAGCCATGCAGAAGTTCGGAGGGTTAAAGGAGACCGGAGTTTTAGGTATTTTGCCTGATTTATAGTGGGGCAATCTGGGATGAGACCTGCATTTTTATTCATTTATTTAGTTTTCTTCTCAAACGAGTCAACGTGCAGCAAAGGACTAATGAGCGTTCCAGGATAGAACTGTTTAAGTTGAGTCAGCGCAATGTTTTCTTCTTTTCCTACAGACCAAGCCACGTTGGGACTAATGAAAACACCAAGATGTTCGCTGCCAGATGTGTCTCAGGCCGAAGCGACGAAGCGCAGGAAAAGAAGTCTGATTCCTCCAAATAAGTGGAATAAGAGGCATCTTTCCTGGAGGTAGAAACCAGTGACATACTCTTTTATTCTTTTGAATTAACTTGGAGTCAGATCTATTTAAACTCTCTTTTTAGGATTATAAAACTATCAGACATTTTTTAATAAAAGAAAAACTGCATCTTTTTTTAGTTTGATCTCATTAAGTAGCATGATACAAATTAACCTTTTACTCCAAATTTACACAAACAGGACTTGTCTTCATCTATTTCTCTGATTTAATAAAACATTTGGAAACATTTTGTGCATGCTAGCTTGAGTGCTAGCTGTTGCTATTGTCTCGGGATGATGACATCATAACATGAGTCGAGCAACAACAGCAAAAGCTGCGTTCCATTACAAAATARGCAAGTGTGAACTTCAACATGTAACTTTAACATTTAAAGTTTAATTTTTACATTTAGATTTAAAATTTAAATGTATTTCTTAACACATGAATTTAACATTTAGTAAAAATAAGCTAAGTGTAAGCGCAGTGAGCTAAATAACAATAAAACGTTAGAGGAAATATTTAAACACTCAAAAAGTGAGCTAAATAATTAAGAGTATGCTGGTGATTTTTTACATTTCATTTTACACAGTCAATGAGAAAAAATTAGAAAATTTTGATCTCCTCCTTGGTACTTTTAACAGTCCAACAACTGTTTTTAAAATAAACTGCCTCTTTTTATTAGCGATGTTAGACTGACTGTAAATAATTCAGAAGCTATAAAAACTTTTCATGCATTCAGTAACTTTCAAGTCCACTTTTATGCTGAATACAAAACCATGACCCACCCTCCTCCCTCTGTCTTAAAGTAATTGCTTGATTTGCTGTTATGTTGAGAAACTGATTTCACATGATTTCTGCGCACAAGTCACTTAACTTAAAGCTCAGCAGAAAATTAACTCTCAGTCCTTTGGGCAGCTCTACATTGCTTTCAGTCTTTACTGACTTGAGTCTGTTTACAATTGTTAGCTTAAAGTCAGCAGAATGTTGGTGTTATTAAAGGCCCAGCATTCCTTAAATGGTCCTTCAAGGATATTGCCCGCCACCATTCATGTTAGAGTTTTAGACTAAAATCATCCTGTAATGAGAAACAGCAGATTTTTTGCCAAACCTTGAATGCAACATCCACAAAGAACATCCTTCTTTTCTTCTTTACTGATATTTTACGATTTTAGTTAGGTTGATCGAACAGCTTTTAGTAATTATTTCTGTTTTGACAAATCTGAGATGATACAGCTGAACAAAAAAAAAAATAAAAAATTAAAATTCAGGTTCAGAGAACCACATTATTGACATGTCAGTGAAAAGTCAACAATCCCGATTTCTCCCCTCATCTCAGCATCCTTTTTTTATTTGATCAGTTCTGGCTCAAAGGAAGGACGCCTCATAGTGTGAGAGCCTGACCAGCTTCTTCATTTTAAGGAAWTCTCTGATCCTCAGCTTAGTTTATCTTAAACTAATTTCCTAATTCCAGTGGACTTTTAATGGTTGCGCAAAGCTAAAACATAATGTAGCTAAAAGCAGAGTTTCCCCTGCAGCGTAATTATTCTGTTGTCACCGTGGAAGCTAATTCCAAACTGCATTAGTTATAGCTAAATTCACTCATTAAAAAGCCCAGCCAAAAGGGCTTCGTTTAGTTCTTTCATTTGTATTATTTAAGAGAGATAATCTGTGCAGCGCAMGCGGACTGATCATGCCGACAAACAGCAGAGGATGATTTTAAGCTCGCGTGCTTTCTTGCAGCTGCATGGGGAGTTCTATCACAGATTTCTATTTCTGTTTTCAGGCACGTTAAGCTTCATTTTACCTGTTTACTTTATCCTGTTTAGAGTTGTGGGGAAGAGCCGGAGCTATCCCATCTACCACTGAGCAAAACGCAGCATGAACCTTGTCAGTTTAATGAAGAGCTAATGCAGAGAGAATGAGAACAATGCACATTTCATCACACAAACATTTTAATATCAACAGTTACCCAAGCATGCAGAGAACAGTTTTTAAGGTGTTAGCTAGCTAATAGTTGTGGCTACAAATGTTGAAAATGGGTTAGACTTGACTCAGTATTGCAAGAAAACGGACAAGTTTTACACTCAGTGCAGCCTTGCAGCAACATTAGCAACCGTAGTTTGAAAATTATGGGGGGGGGGGGGGGGGTGCACAGCTTATATAACTTACAACACTAGGATGTGTGCATTATTTCATTCCTCAACGACTGCCCTCACAATTATGATTTAATCTTCTGGAGCACAAGTGAAGATAGGTAGATTTAGACCTTTAGTCAGAGCAAGATCAAGAACAAAGGATTGCTGTCCTTTTAAAACTCCACCACTTCATTTTGATTTTTTTTTTTTCAGAGGAAGGCACAAACAAGACAAAAACAAAAAGACAAAAACATTTCCAAAAGCCATRTCGGCACCAGATGTGCTGCAGCTTGCTGCTGCTGCTCTCATTAGTTGGGTTTGCAAATGGCCATTTAATTCAATCTAAATATCCATGTCATTAAAATTTCACAGCATTGTAAAAGTTTCTTAAAAAGATAGAAAAGTGTTCAGAGGAACTGCCTTCAAATTAAGCGGGAGTTGTTTTAAGGTCACAGCATTCCATTTTGATTTCTGCTCTTTGCCCTGCTTGAAATAGCCACCGTTTCATCAATCCGCTCAGAATTTAGCTCTCCGATTCTCTCGTTTGAGGCACTTCTAGAAGCCATCCGCCGCAGGTAAAATAATAATTTCTTATGAAAGTTATCATTGACCTTTCAGACTCATAAAATGAGCTCGGAGCTTCTTTTCCTCTGTTMCTCCCGCACACTATAAAGGGTGTCATCATGCTGTTTGGCTARCGATCAATAGCAAATGACTATGTGACACTGGATTAATGGTGGAGCATTCATGAAGTTGTTTGGCCCTTAATAGAACCAAATGCACATCTTTGACCATTTAAGAAATGGCTTCTTTGAAAAGAGAAAATAAACAACTGCTCCTTGCTTAGTTTAAATATGTTWTTAGAAGTGATTCGACGGGACATATTATAGACATATTTGTGTCTGAAAGCATATATTTTAGCAAACGGTTCATTAAAGCTGGAAAATCCTTGARGAAATGCGTATCTCTGTGGTTTGATGCTGGAGTTTTAGATCATTTTCTGCTAATAAATAATGAACTTCAAGTTATTTTTGGTCCAGTCTTAAAAACATTATGCATAATCCCATGCAGTTTTGTGTGATCTCACAGGTCTTAGCACTTGGAGTACTTATAAATGACTGTGTTACTGCTACGCCAAATTATATTTCAATGTCTGCAAATTTCAGGAACAATTTATGCATATGCTAAGGTTGATTAGCTTTGGTGGCCATCTAGAAATCGATTGTCTTTTAWTATTGTCTAGAAGAAAGCAGCACAGAAAAATGTCAGCTCTTGCAAAAATGACAAAAATAAGCCTTTAAAATCTCATGTCAGCATATGTATATGATGAAATACACAAACGAAGTGAGAAATAAAGAAAACCAAAACTCACACACAGATAAATATATACCCTCCTACACACAGGCCTGTGTGTGCATGCTACGCCTTCCTCCTGMTGGGGTTTTAACTTTCATTTTCTTCRTTGTCCTGCTGCCAATCATCCAGKTCTCCTGTCAGCTCACGACTCTCTAAAATGAGACAGCTGTGTCTTCAGTCCGGTGAAACGTCTTTGTATTCGCGGCACTCCGATTTGTAGACCTGCGCGCAGGAACAGGTTGTGGATTATGTTCCAGTTTCAAACCCGCAGAGATTTTCACACGGTGCAGAATTTGAGAAAAAAAAATGCATTTACAGTATATCCTGCTCAAACTGGCTTCCCTTTTAATTCTCCCAGTACTTGTTTTTGCTCGTGTTTTAAGTGGATGTCAATCCACCTTTACAGACATCACCTCACAGCTTGGTTTTATAACGTAGACCTTAATACTGTATTTCATTTTTTATTGTTATGTGAGCAAAAACAACGACAAAAAAGACAGGGTTGAGGCTAGGAAGAAATTATAAATTGCGCTAACACAACACATGAATGAACGTACAAACATATGGGGTGCCAAGTGTAAAAACACCACAAAAATACATGTATTAAAGCAGACATACGATGCTTTTAAATCCTTCCTTTTCACATTTAAATCATTCAGTTGGGGTCTTGCTTTAGTCTGAATTCCTCCTTATTCTAACTTCACAGCCCCTCTTTCACCCTTTTCTAAGGTGTGTCTCAAAATAACTGGTTTGGTTACTGTTCCTTCAAAGGGCCAATATTATGTGTTTCTTAGGCATATATTTAAATACCATACCATAATAAAGTATCTATGTCACCTTTAGCTGTTATTAAAATGCTGTTTTTATGTTTAAATAGAAAATAAACTTATCTTCTCATCACTTCCTCTTCTAAACGCCTTGAAATTGGCCTCTGTCTCTTTAAGAACCACCTTCTGCTTCTGTTCCATCCCGTTCGGTGCCGGGGTGTGGCGCTATGATGCAGTTTACTTGGCATCTGAAAACACATTTCCTCAAAGGTATTTTTAATCTGAAAAGAGCTTCACTGAGTGAGAACTAATGTTGAGAGCTCAGCAGTTAGGTTTCACTTTCACTTTCACCAAAGAGACTGCAGGAGTCATGGGTGGGGTA